ACTGACTCACTGAGTCCCAGTAAATGGGACTGGCTTTAACCCAATGCCTAATGACTACGGATTGAACTTGTCCCATAACTACGTGGCTGTACTTCTGTGATTTCAATGGCCTGGGACAGGTTCAATTTATGCGTTTTGCTGTCATTTGTTTTGCTTGACCACACGCCCCGCTTATGGCCATAAGCTCTTTCGGGTCCCGGTTCGGGTCTCGGTGCAGAAATTTATGCGCCATCACTTTGGTCTTTGAAGCCGGCTGCCTTCCGCTCAAATCCCTTAAAACCACAGAAAGGACCGGTACCGGCAAGAATCATTCATTTATTTTGCAGAAACTGCCGGCAGCGTTTGACTTTGGCTCTGCTTTAAACTGCTCTCGACCTTTGTCAAAAGTTTTGCGGCCAAAAACTTTGTGGCTAAAATCAAACTGTGGATAATGATGAATGCGGCCAGCAGTTTGTGGCTCTTGGCATGTGGGACTGAATAATTAACGCTTCGCTGGATTCTTGTCACTGAATGGCCAGAGTTGGTCAATCTCAATTCCGATTTTACTGGACTGAATGCGTTCAACTTTTTCGCCTTGCGTGTGGCTGTCCAATTTATGGATTTTTCTCGAAATTTATTTCGGGTCGAGTCTTTGATTAGGGTTTGCCGAGATTTATGCTGCAGTTGCTTCCCGCTGTGAGCAGTCCTATTAGGGCTCATTAAGGACCAAGTTCAAGGGTATTGTTGGGCTGGGCAAACAAAATATAAATGTCATCGCGCCGCACTGTTAGAGGCAAATACTAAACGAAGTTGGTCGTTTATAAACTCATAAATTTGGTGAAAAATGGCAAATCGATTTCGCTTTTTTTGCGGTCGTTGTTATTACAAAACTGTCAGAGCCCCGGACCAAGTGGAAGGCAAATGCAGTCGCTTCGGCTGCCAAGCTCCTTCAATCTCCTCCCCCAATCTTCTCCCTGGGCAGTTGGCAAATCCCTTTTGATAAAGTGCCCTACGTCCTGTTGGCCTCGAGTGTCGCATTATGGCCATTTTCGGAGGAAACGCCTCGATGGCTTCGCAGCTTTCAGCTCAGTTCGTTTTAGTGGCGGATTTGGCAATAAGAGGCGACCAGATTTATGCAACTGCTTTCATGCGTAATTATTTGCTGACATCTTAATAGTTTTTTCAAGTCTCTTTAGCCGTTTATTTGACGTTTATTTGTGAAATTTTAGAGCCAAAAATAGCTGAGAATCGACTTGGCTTTGCCTTCGAGAAACGAGGAAGTGGAAAAGCAGTGGCTTCATAAATATTTTAGATCCTTCACTTAGGCATAATTGTTTTGCGAAAGCTTTCTTTTTTATTTGCTTGCTGTGATCCGGTTTTTTCTTCACTTGAGCTCCCCATTTGAAGCAGCTGGCATCTGTCACCCACACACACGTACTTATTGGAGGCCTCTTAATGGGCGCCCGTTTAACGACATTGCCAGGAGCACCATAAATAATACAAATAATAGAAAACGCTGAAATATAAAATTCCGTTTCCTTGTTCGGGCTGCTTGTGCCCTAGTGCCTCTGTCCTTGTGACAATTTGTCGTGTGAGCAACTTTTTGATAGGCCAGAGGTGTAGTGTATAGCCCGCCGATAAACCTGGCTGGCGTACTTTTCCTTTTCTTTCCATTCTATCTTTCTCGTTCTCGTTCTCTCTTATTCACTCTGTTTGTCTGCTGCTTCGGGCGGGCCAAAAACAAGCTTAAGTCCTTGTCGTCCTTGGCGAAGCGACGCCACCTTGGGGCTTTTAAGTTTGACGCTCGTTTATAGACTTTGCACACTTTGCATTTACTTTACGGCGCCGCTGATGCGGCTGATAATAAGACCACGTGGCGTATGCGCAGTGCCAAGCGAAATGGCAGGCTGGATGGCAGGCACGAAAGCACAGCACGGCAAAAACAATGAAATAAGCGAAAGTTGGCCAAAGTTTTTACAGCCCGATACACACACGCCTCAGAGACACCTATTCAGCATCCAGCATTCCGCCTTTGGCCACTCGACTCTTGAGGAACTCTCGAGCCTTGCTTTTGTTTTGCCGAAGCTTGTTTTATAACTTTTTGATTGTCTTTGCGCCAAATTTGTGCAAAATTGTTCATGTCTGTGGGCCGAGTTGGCTCGCACCTGCAAATTGTGTGTGCGGCTTACATTACGGCTGCCATGTATAATATTTGGCTTAATCTGATTTCTGCTACTCAAGTTAACTTCGACAGCAGCAGCAGCGGCGGCGGTCGGTTCGAAACTTTACCCGAGGCAGAGCAACAATTTATAGACCGTTTACAATATTTATTTCGATTGGTAGGCCAACTTTTCCTTCCACACTTTGGCATTTCTCATGACTTTATTTTCGGTTGTGTGCGCAATAGAAAAGAGTCCATTAAAGTGCAATGCCAGACGGCGAGCAAAACTTTCATTAGATATGCCAAAAGCGTCTTTGCACAAGTCAGTACTGGTGGCCTCGGGGGCGGAAGGAGCAGCTTGCTTTGTCAAAGTCCTCACATGTCATGCAGCAGACAGCCTGGCAGCAGTCAGCAGGCATCCTGGCATCCTGGCATCCTGGCAGCCAGGAACAGTCAGCCACGCAGTGAGTTAGTCTGCTGCAGGCTACGGGCTACGGGCTACGTCCATCTCCCCGTCTGTCGTCGCCTGTCATCGGTGTGATGTGTGTACCCACTGAACACACCCTCGTACTCGTCGTCGTCGTCGGCGTTCTTCCATCGTCCTGCTCCTCCTTCGCACTCACATCTTCAGATGGCCCGGGGGCAGGACGAGCCCTGCCATTGAGGTTGCACTGAGTGCACATGCTCGCCTTGTTATTGCCGCCGCCGCTGGAGCACAACCACAATTATTACATTTGTATGGACATGTGGCCACATTAAGTATACGACGCGAAGGCCAGCCAGGACCTGCGGCTGTTGCTGCCTTCGTCGCTCTTGTCGACGTGGCCCTGTCGCTCAAGTGGCCTGTCACAATATTTATTCAATGTAAGGGTGCTCCGCTGACCCACTGTTTGGTTAGTCAAATTGATTTATGTTTTGCTTTAATTTCAAAATTAAATCCACCTTGGAGTGCTGGGAAAACAGTGCTGGCAGGACTAATCCTTTGTACGCCAGTATGCCCGTCACGTGCGCCTTTTGTTGCTTCTGTAAATAAAGTGCTCGACCGCCAGTTGGCAACTCAATTAGGCCGTTAAGCCAGGGCCCTTCTAATGAACTCCACTTGGCTCCGCCATTAAACCTAACCACCGCCCACATAAATAATTCAATCACAACAATTTCAGCACAGAAAATCAATAATAATCGCATCAAGTGTCTGGGGGCAGTTTCGATTACACTTTCCCAACCGAGCAACGTGTTTAAATTGTTAGGAGCCCGCCCACATACACTTTCTTCACACTCCATCCAGCTGCTAATCTGTGCGGGCGGAGCAAGACTCTCCATAAAGATTCATTTCGTTTAATGACTTGAAATTGATTTCACTGTGCCATCGGCGCATTTTATATGACGCTACTTCGAAGTCTTCGCCCGGGGTAAATTGCAAAAACGTGCTTTACGACGGTATGATCCTGCCTCGTTGGGACTCCTCCTGTTTTTTCCCTGCTCCTGCTCCTGCTCCAGCTCCAGCTCTGGCTCCTTGGCGTATTAATTTTTCAACAATTACGTTGCCAGCGACAACGTGTAATAGATACAGCCGAGGAGCTTTTAACCGCACCATGTTTTACGAGCTGCTCATTGGGTTTTTTGATTAACTTTTACCCGAAATGAAGCTATAATGAAATTTAATTTTGTGGCCTACTTTGACCCGCTTATTGGTTCGTTAATCAAATCAAACTGATAAAGGCCATTCCCATTAGCAGCGACATTTTCAATTCATTGAACAAGTCATCAAGAATTGCATATTGCAAGTACCGAGCCGCTGGTAAGCCAGCAATTTACAATTTATTAAAATTAAAAGCATGCGCAACCTGTAAACTGCCGGACATCGCCCACTCCAATATAGTTCTCCATCCTACAACCTCTTAAAAGGTCGAGAACAGCCGGACCAGACCGGACCGAACCGTGGTGGAATGTTTATGAAGTAAATAATCGAAGCGTGCCCAATGAATTATTCATGAGTCTTATGGAAAAGCCAGCTGCCAAAGGTGGCAGGTGCCCAGAACGCGTCCAGTGCGTGACTTTCGGCTTTTTTGGAGGGCCAATAAGGACTAACCAAAGTCCAGCTGCCCCCAAACCTACCCGCCATTTGCAATTAGCTATTTGGAGACTTCATTTCAGCAGCTTTGCATATGCATTAAAGGGTTAAATGGCAAAGTTTATAAATACTCAGGTTCGGTTAACACAAGCAAATCATTATTGATCAGCCTCCATAACTGGCTAAAAATTGTCTATTTTTACATACACACAAGGTTAAATTATTGCACTTCACTAATGTCATATTTGTAATGGTAAAGTTTGTAAAAGATATGTCCTGAAAACCTTTCAATTTCTAAAGTTTAGTCTCAACTATTTTGAAGGGCTAAAAGTTCCATTCCTAAATTCTTCCAAATATTAAGAGTTTGAGTAAAATAAAATTTGTCACTATGTTTTTGACGAAGCAACTAGGCTAAAATTGCTTTCAAACTGTTTCCAAATTGATTCTTTTGCGAATGTTACAATCAAAAGCTCGCAAATAAAAATATTTTTTGGATATTATAAGTATACATAAAATAACAATTTAATAAAACATATTTAAGGAGTTATATTAATTCCCAAGAAAAATTCATACAAGTTTGCTAGAAAGTTTTAAATATGTTTCACTCAAGTGCTTAGATAAACTACCAGACACTGCAATATATTTCTCATATTTCCCCAAATATCAGTTATGGTAATTTTGTCACGGAATATATTTTCTAGTGTACCCAAAAGTAACAATCACAAAAGCAATCAAAAAAGCCAGCACAGTCGGACAAAGCAATTGTGAAGTGCACTGGTAGGTACTTACTTATTGGCTTTGTTTGCTGTAATCCTAAAAGTAAAGCGATTATCCAAAACCTATTCATATTTCCGAATTGGTTGATTCCAGCTGCAGTGGCAGATGGGGTTTTGGCCTGGCTTAGCCTTCGATGGAAATCCCAAATGAGCACACAAAACTCTTAAAATATCAAATTGTAGCACTTGAGCGATCTGATTATCTTCACATTAATAAATAGCAACAATGAGTCGGTGGCTCGTTCTGGGGGAATCGGGGGGGTTCTACTTTTGGCACCACCAGCACAAATAACCTAGGCAATTATCGATCGCAGTTTCGAATGGAGGGTGGGGGGCGGAGTTACATGTTTGATTGAACGCGCGCAGCTAATTAGGTAACTCCTGCGAATCGCGCGCACCCGCAGAGCAAGGACCTCGCCGGCAGGTGTCCTGCCCAGCCGCTGGCTACTCCTTTCACTATCACTGTCACTCGTCAGCACTCACTTTCACTCAAATGCTCTACACTACACGGCAAACTTTTTGTGGGGGGCTGAGGCAGTAGCTCTGGCACTGGCACTGGCACTGAATTTTGCTGAAAAACCACTGGCTCCGGGGCTCTTTGCATGCGCGCACTTGTTGTGCTCGTCGCAAGCGTTTATCCTAGACTGAAGTGGCAAGCGACACGCACGCTCGCCGACTCGCTGGAAAGTCGGAAAGACGGCTCAGGATACTCCCACACCTGCGGCCTCCTTAAATTTTAGTGGGGGAGTCGAGCGGTTCCAGCTACTTTCCCTACCCGAGAGAGGACGAAAGCTCGTCGGAGCTTTTGCGCTCTCACTTATCCGGCCAGTAGCCAGTTGTTGCGCCACGGCAACAGTTCCCTGCCGAGCCTTTGCCGAATCCTTGCCCGAGTCGAGTCCTGCGAAGAGCGCCTGAATCAACAGGCTGCTCTATCCACAGCTGAATAGCCTGGACTGGCAATTCCTTTCACTTTGTCTGCGGACGGGCAAAGCAGTCGCTTTAAATGCATTAAGTGTGGCCCAGCCGCTGGCCATTCTGCTGACGGCACGTCCGGCCAACCAACTGCCCGTCCGTCATCCTCGTTTTTTTTAATTACCCCAGCAATTGTCTGTAATTGGTTTTCAGAAAAAACAATTTGTGTTACAGTTTCTATTAACAAATTATATCATAAACAGTCATTTTAATAGGTAATAATAGTTGACCGCTTAGCAACATGTGAAATTTAGTACGTCCTCACAAACAATTGTCTTTAATTGGCAAATTAAAAACAAAAATATTAGTTAAAACTTAAGTTTAAAAATGTATACTATCGTTCAAACAGGCATTGCATTTCAGAGAGACATGATTTTTGTGGGAAAATCCTGTTTTTGAGTTTTGAATAAATAATAATTATTTACGGGCCTTCTGTTTGCGCTTGTTATGGTTGGGAACCACAGTCGAACGACGCATAAATAACAATTTCCATTACGAAAATGTATTTTTTTAATAAATATTTGCATATTCATAAGGGGTTGTCTATCATCACTTTTTGTAAAAGCAGTAAACATAATAAACAATTCAGGTTGGACTGTAAATTGAGTAGCAGTTTATTAAGAGTTAAACGAGGTTAAACAATCCATTTTTTGTCAGATTAGAACTATTAGGCAGAAAGTCAGTATTAATATTGTTGTCAAAAATTATAAGCTTGTGAAGAATACAAATTCTAACTTCTTAGATTCAAAGTTTAACAGTCAAAATTATTGATTATTTAAAGAAAAATTTTAATGCTGTCGGAGTTAAGAATTACTTAATATAAAAAATGTAGCTATATTACATTTGCTTTCATTTCTATCAGTTTTATATCATTTAAATGTATACCTACCCAACCTGGTTATAATTCACACTTACTTACTCAAAGGTGTCTGCCAGCAACAATATTGTAATTTGCGGTTCACGTACAGCAAGCCATTGTAGACCAGTTCCGCCCCAAAGTTGCCTTTTTGGCCGAGCCGCTCTAATTCGGGCCACTCCTTCCGCCTCTGTGGCCCTGACAGCGCATTACTCATTCCCACTAATATCCTTGCTGACAGGTATCCTGTGCCGTTCCGATTCCGACTTGAAGAGCCGGTAAAGCCCTTGGCTGTAGACCTGTCATTGGCTCCAGACGTTCCGAGTGGTATTTAAGTTTTGATGGAATAAATGAATACAGAATTATTTAAGCTAATTAAGCATTTAATACGTCCACACACACACACACACATTTCCATCCGCGGCACGTGGGTAAACTTGTTAGCGTTTTATAGGGTTTCTACTTTTTAACTTAACGAGACGGTGTGAGGACAGTGAGCACCGTCATGGCACATGGCCATAAAGTTTTATGTCCGGCTCCGCGGATCAGAGCCTGCAGGACCATCGTCCGCGTATCCTGCGCATGGCCATTTAATTTTCCCCACGTCCGTCCACTTTTAATTACAAACAATCAAATCAGTTTGTGTTTGTTTTTTTCCGTGAAGCCATCGCGAACGGGGCCACATCATTGTCACAGCTCCGGCTGCGGCACCGGCGACAAGAACTGCAGACATTTTGTTTTCTGTGTGTGTTTGGACTTGGGCTTTGACTGCCAGCCTGTCATCATTAGTGACCACAACACATAAGTTGACATTGCGCTAAATGGGAACATGGCCCTGAGCCAGCGACTTGTTTGCTTGTGGCGACTGACATATCTAGTCTATTATGGCATTAAGTCATAAAGAGCGTGGTAGTCGCTAATTTGCGAAATTATTTCACCCAGTTGCGGTAACTTCTGGCTATCCACCAATACCCTAGCCAGGAATAATACCCCTTAAAAATATTCGGCCAGCAGCGCCATGCAGAAACTAAACAAATATGAGTTTTAAGTTTGCATGGAAAATGGAATAAATGCTTGCAGCCAAATATTTGTTCCTATTGCCAGGCCGTGTTTGTTTATGTAAATGTGGAGCAGAGTTTTGACGTGCCTGTATTTTTGCTGTTCGTGCTATTAGAACACAACTAAAAATAAATTTTATTAACAAAAAGTAATAAATCAAGCGATGTGCAGCCAAGTGAAGAATGATAGAGCACACTACAGGCCTTGTTCTCATTTAGGGAATCCCTGGCAGTTTAAATAATAAAAGGGAAATTTACAAATTGTAAGCGCGTAACCAGAAATTTCGAATGGCCCTAGGGCGTAAGGATATTTGCTGTTGCTAAAAAACATTAGCTGGGCACGACTCCAGGCAATTTTCGGGCTTCAGCCACAGGAAATTTCGACCGCCGAATGCCTTTTCATGGGGGTTTTTGGCTTGGCATATACGCGTCCTGGTCAAAATGCAAGTAAAACCGGCGCACAAGCAAAAGCTCGGCCTTTACTCTGTTTTTTGCGTTGCCTTTTCGGCTGCTGAACAACAGCCAACAAAGCTCATTTACACGGGAAATAGCCTAAGTACAAAAACCATTTAAATGCAAATTAAGCACAAAGTGAAAACATGTGAACAAAGAGGATAACACACACACCCACACACACACAGTGGATGGCACGTATTTGGGCCAGGCTTCTGGTTTCGACTCCTAACGTGGCTTACACATCGCCGACGGTTTCGAAGGAATGCCCAACTTTGGGCCGCTCTAAATGTTAAATAGTTAAGCGCTGCCAGCGCCACAACAAATACCTCTGGTCGAGAGCCTGAGCCTGTCCTTCTGCTCGTGCTCCGATTTGAATAAATTCATATGCATAAATGGGCCAGGGAAGTAGCCAACTGCAGCTGACAAAATCAACAACCTGCCTCATGCCCGGTAATTGAGTCAAAGATTCAGGTCCCAAGATATGAACTGCAGGTCGATGTCCGTTGTCCATTGCTCGTTGTTCGTTGTCCGGCAACTTCACGAGCAATTTACCCGCTGCGTATCAGCCCCGGGCTAATGAAGTTACACACGTCCAGCTGCAGGAATTGGTTTTATGGCCAAGGTGCATGAGCTTTACATCGAGCCATGGGTGCTACCCATTACACACCAGTTGAATGAGCTCGCTTCAATGTATTCAAATTATCGCCTCGAAAGGCACCTGGTCGCTGGCTTCCTGGATGGCTGGCAGAGGCGAGTTCGGAAAATATTCTCTTGGGGTATTACTTTTACACTGAACAAATACAAATATTTAAATAGAAAATTAATTAAACTCATTTAAAATTTTTAATTAAAGATATTTTACAATTTGTAATTAAATGGTACATTTTGTTTAACATTAATACAATTCGTGAAACTCCAATGATCGTTGTGGCTTAAATAAATAATAGTAAAGCTTATGCATGGATGATAAAAACTTTACTTTGGAGCATGCCCACACTTTATGTAATGCCGCATACATATTTCTATTTTACAAAGCGCTAAGCCAATGTGTTAATGTTTGTTTATCAAAGAATTTCATAATATAATTTTATTTAAAATTCTTTTTATTATTTAATAAAATTAATTTATTAAATTTGTTGTTCTTACCTAAGTATTCAAAAATTAAAAGTAAATGACTGTTTTGTTTTAAACAACATTTATCACTATTGTTTGTAATATTCTTGTCGAAAAGTGATTTTTACCCCAAAATCCCCTCTGGGACCGCCCCTGATTGATGGCTGCGATAACTGTTCCTGCAATCGTCGAGTACGCGTTAGTCTTTGATTATAACACAGCAGAAGGACCAGAAGGACCAGAAGGACCAGATGCCGCCTGCGAGAGGGCGTGAACTCGATGCGAATTGTCCGAGTGTTTGCTTTATGTATGTGCACTAAACAAACAGCCGTGGACGGACATCACTCCCCCGAGAAAAACAGGTGCGTCTACCAACCAGCTGCTGCAAATTGAGCAGCCGCCGCAACTATTTTACACAGCAGGGGAGTCGTTTAACCCATTCCGCTATTGAACTCGATTGGAACTTCAGTCAGAAATTCAAGTGCAAAACAACAGTAACTCTTTATTATTTCGCGGAAAACCACGGGTGTGTAGTAATTGGTCTATGCGTGACTGTAATAACAAAAGTTACTTGTCTGCAATAATTTTCAAATCAATTTATTGATTTAACTGCGTGTATGTGTAGCAAAGAGTAGGAGGTACTTGGCCAAAAAAGGAAATCAATCTGGATTAACTTTTCCAGTTTTATACAATATATTTAGTCCGGCATGTGCCCAAAGTTTGTCACATAAATTAAGTCGTACAGCGTAATAAAGCCGTGCTCGTGATACTTGGTTCGACATTAGCTTGTTGATTTTGTGACCGTTCCAACGATGGGTTCATTCTTGTAAAATCTTATTAACTTTCATTGTTGTTGTTGGTGTGTGTGGGTGTTTCTGTGGGTGTTTGTGTGTCAACTGTCACAACGAAGTTTTGTCCCGCACGTTTTGCTGGCAACAGTGGCCAAAGCCCATCATTGTGCTCACAGTTCATTTGATATTAATATAGACCACTGGCCACTGGTCCTGGTGTTTCTGGCACTGATGATGATGCCGCTCTGCCGTTGCCGCTACATATGTTTTCATTTGTTTGACGCTGATGATGACAACCCTCATCAAAACTTTGTACCGATGGCCGCTCGATTGCTCGGGCGAGTGGTCAACGGCTGTTGACAGGCCACTTTGACATCGTGTGGGTTGTGCTGGCTTCCTGGC